GAGAGAAGAAACAACACTCTAATCATTCTCCCATTCAGTAGCTCAGTTCCCTGTTTCTTTTATGGAAATGGCAAGGCAGAGAAATGTATTATTACTCTTCAGATAATATCAATTCTCAGGTTACCACCACTGATTGCAGAGAGTACATAGTCTAATAAATCTTGTTACTGCCATTTATGGGAATATGCCTCATCCATCTTCTAGTTTTCCAGGTGGTGAGGGGTGAATTTGCCAAGTTACCTGTTTTGCTTGCCTGAGTCCCAAGATACAAGAAAACTAGCAGACCAATCTGGGGAAGGGAAGGAACGGAAGGGGAGGAACCACTTTTTCCATCCCTTGCTGGTGTTGTGACTCCGAAGTTGACCAGGTATCATGACACAGAGTAAGAGGCTGCAAGGTTTCTAGCTAAGGGGCTGAACCGAGTTCAGATTCCTAAACCTGCTGCTGTTGGAACCCAGCCAGATGGGCGGGGTAGAAATAAATTATTATTATTATTATTATTATTATTATTATTATTATTATTATTATCATGGGCTTTGAAGTCACTCGAACTCAGGACGCAAGGGAGAAACATGCTAAGAGGAAGGCACGCTTGGCAAATCCACACCATGATCAACTACTGCCCGGAAACCAAGGTCCCTACTGTGGAAGGACCTGTGGATCCAGAATTGGCCTCCAGAATCACTTTCGGACTCATTTTTAAAACTGTATTTATGGAAGACGATCTTACTCAGCTACGAGTGATCGCCGAAGCAGCAGCAGCAGCAGCAGCTTATGGGTACCTTCTCCTAAGTTGGAGGAACCAAAGACCTCTTGCACAGCCTCATCAGTCCTGTGGCACCTGAAGTGCACTTGTTGGGGGGCCATGGAGCAAAGGAGGAATGCTGGTTTTCAGGCCAATGGGTGAGCCTGAAAAGGGTGAGTCCACTAGAGCATGGGATATGTAGAGCTCATCCACACCTACCTTTTGCCCCACTCTTTCTATAGACAGGTCTGTCCTTTAAAGTACACTTTCCCCAGTAGAAGCTGCTCTTTAGCATGAAATCAGAACAAACAGCAATTTAGCATTTTTGTAGATTACTGTTTGCTTCGATTCAGCAGTAAAGAGCAGCATTTCATGGGGAAAGTGCATGAGCATTTTTAAAAAGGCACTTGAACACAGTGCTTTAAAACATGGACCTATGCCTAGAAATGTAGCACAAAAGGTAGTCTGAATGAACCTCTAGTCTGGGAGCAGAGGCTTAAAAGGCCATAAAAGGCCCTGGACTCAGCTACACTCAATTATATCGTTATAACTGTGTTATAAACATGTGACACCAGATGGTGCTGTAGAGCAGCCAAAATCGCCTATGTGATTTTGCATTATGAGCTTTATAATGCATTTTCCTGTAATGCTTTTTTAAAAATTGTGTCTAGATCCAGTCCCTGTCTGCTTTCAACCATTGTTGGAGCAAGTGGTTTGCTCGGAACTCTCCATGGTACTGCAATTCTTGCCTTGCTGGCCAGATCAGAAGAGCTTACAGGTACTTGTGTGGGTAGAGTGGAGGATAGGAGAATTGGCTTCCCCTCTTATCAGAACAGATCCTCTACCACTGAGCTACGGTCCTTCCCCAAAAGCTTCACAAAGAAGTCTAAGATCTTATGCTATACGGAGATAAGAAGCTTCCTTAAACCGAGCCAGATCACTTTTCTATTTAGCTCAGTATTGTCTACACTGGCTGGCAGTGGCTGCTCAGGATTTCAGGCACAAGCCTTCCCCACCCTGCCTAAAATTGAACCTGGGACCTTCTGCATGCAAGACAAATGCTCTGCAGCTGAGCTGTGGACATCTCCTCTTCTTCCATCTTCCTGGAAACACTCTCAACCTGGCCCGGGGAGGGCAGTGCAACAGATTGCCCATGTCTGTTTTCCCCACCCTTCTGTTTCCTTGTTGTCTGTTTCAAACAATCTGCCAATTTATCATCACAAAATTAAATATTTTAGAACAAGACTTGAGGCTGGTGACAGGCTCCAGACTGATCATCTCTGGCAGAGAAAAAGTGACGGTTCTTTTCTGTCTTTCTGCGAAAGCCATGACTTAATGTTGGCTGGGAGATTGGAGAGTGGCTGACAACTCCAAGCTGTCTGAGAGTAACTCAGTGAAGACTCTTTAAAAAAAAGAGAAAAGAAAGTGCAATCTGGAGATAACTTGGTGCCAAGAAGAAAAGGGGGGAAATGTAAATCTAATGCATCAGACATGAAAAATAGAGGCAAGTATTTATATTTTTAAAAAGAAACAAACAAACATATATTTATTTAATTTGGTGAAAACAAAACAAGAACAAACATATACAGTACTGAGGAGACATTTGACATTCTGGAATGACCAGTCCAGCAAGGATTAAATTACCATTTCTCATCCTATATTTCACAATACAATGATATGATATAGTAGAATGAATTAACCCAAAGTATGAATGGACCCATTCCGATCTGGGGCAATCTTGGGCTGCTGAACCTGAGTCACATCCCTAGCCTTCAGCATATGGTGAAAGGTATACAATCAAGCTGTCAAAGACACTTCTATGGGAGGGAATTGCCTAAATTTCACTAAGCAGTGGCTCAGGGGCTACCACAGAGGATGTCCTCTCCCAGGCAGTCACCACCCAAACTTTCCAGAGTGGTGAAAATATCAAGAGGGCCCCCTCTGCTGATCTTAACATCTAAGAGGATTTGTAGGGAAGCAGGTAATATTTCAGGGATTTGGGGCCTAAAACAACTGCTGGACCCAGTCATCTACCACTGCTCATATTGCCATGCTAAAAAGAAAGATGCCTGCTTCTTGGGAGAAAAGCAATGACAAACCTAGAAAGCATCTTAAAAAGTAGAGACATCACCTTGCCAACAAAGGTCTGTATAGTAAAAGCTATGGTTTTCCCAGTAGTGATGTATGGAAGTGAGAGCTGGACCATAAAGAATTGATGCTTTTGAATTATGGTGCTGGAGGAGACTCTTGAGAGTCCCATGGACTGCAAGAAGATCAAACCTATCCATTCTTAAGGAAATCAGCCCTGAGTGCTCACTGGAAGGACAGATCCTGAAGCTAAGGCTTCAATACTTTGGCCTCCTCATGAGAAGAGAAGACTCCCTGGAAAAGACCCTGATGTTGGGAAAGATTGAGGGCACAAGGAGAAGGGGACGACAGAGGACGAGATGGTTGGACAGTGTTCTCGAAGCTACCAGCATGAGTTTGACCAAACTGCGGGAGGCAGTGGAAGACAGGAGTGCCTGGCGTGCTCTGGTCGATTGGGTCATGAAGAGTCGGACACGACTAAACGACTAAACAACAACAAGAAAGAAAGAAAAAACTTACATGGGGTGGGGATACAATTCTGGGAGTTCAGATGAACAGAAGGAGATGTACTGTTCTTCACTGGAAGTTTTAAAGCAGAGCAGGGATGCCAACTTGAATAAAATATTGGGAGGGCCCAGGTGCCAGTTGAATGGCAATGCCTATCAACTTGGGGGGCCCTGACCCCCTCAAATATTTTATGGGGGTGAAGGGAATTTTATGGGGGCGTAGATAGTTGGCTACCCACCTCTGCTTGATAGGAGCCAGCTGTAAGAGACTGTCTGTCACGGATTACTTAGCTGTGATTTATGCATTGCAGGAGGTTGGACTAGACGACCCTTGGTTATGAACATTAACAAGGCATTTCTGGACATTAAAGTAAACATTTTTTTAAAAAAGTGATTTGCCTGGGAGAGCACACACTCCCAACAGTCACCATTTAACAAGGACAGCACCCCTTTTATAGTCCCTGTCCTTAGTAAACTACTGCCCCTGTTTTGCCTTTATGGGAACATCTGACAGATGCCTTTTGAAAACATTCTTTTGCTAGCATTTCCTCATATGCTCCAGAGTACATTAGTTTTCTTCTTATCCTGCCTGAAACTGCTTCTCCAGATGGTAAACATGGCTTAATGTGCCTTGAGATGTAGGTATTCTAGATTAAGTACAACTGGATCCATCGTTAGACTGAATATCAATCTCAAATGTAAGAGCAAAAGAAAAACACCTCAAACCGCAGGGGGCTTAAATGCCTCCATATTCATTAAGAAAAGAGCGGGGGGGGGGGCAGCACTATCCTGCGGTGCTTCAGTTAGGGAACTTTTGGTTCTGGACTTCAATGGATTTACTGTGACTCTCTTCACCCTTTAGATCAGTGGTTCACAAACCTTTGGGGACAATGCCTTCTTGGTTCCATAAAGTCATCCACAGCGCTCCCTTGCCTTCCCTTCCCCTCCCTTCCCCAAAAGAAGCATAATTCAAAATAGCAGTTTACATGACCCACCAAGTAGGATACTAACACAAGAAAATTCAAAACAGTAACAGTTAATTGCATCATTATTCAAAATTAAAATAGAAACTATTTGCTTTAATCAATTCAACAGAATCTGATGAACTTGATCTAGCGATAGCACATCCACAAAGTCTGATAGCCATTGTAGCTCCAGTGCCCACTGCCTCCCCCCTGCCTCTTAATGCTGTCCTCACCACCACCTGGTAATCTCGCCCCCGCTGGGGGTGCTTCTACCCACTTTATAAAAGCACTGTTTTAGACAGCAATATGTGGCAAGGTGACTTACAGATGCTAATTTGCATTTTAAAAATCATATGCTGATGTATATATGCAAGTTTAGAAATAAATAGAAATACAATGCAGTTCACCATAGTGGAGAAAACTTTGATCAGGCCACCTGTATCTGCTGCCCAGGCACTAACTGTTGGTGGCCAACCTCAAGGGTCCTCCTCCTGTCCGTGCTTAGAGGTTCATATCTTTAAACTGGACTTGGACCAGGTAGCGCTTCAACTAGAGGACACTTTCAAATAGCCCTGTTGTTGGACAGCCCTTCAAATAGAGGCTTGCTTTCTGTAAAACAGAGCACATGATAATGGGCATTTCTTTTCTTACTTCAAATATGTGCTAAGCCAACTTTTCATTCTTCTTAGTGGACCCTCGGACCTAAGAACATAAGAAGAACTTGCTGGATGAGGATGCCACATGTCCATCTAGTCCAGCACCCCACTCTCCCAGTGGCCAAGCAAGATGCCTGAGGCCCATGAATAGGACCTGAGCCTAACCTACTGTGTGAAGGTAAAATTTGCATTTGTTGCTCCTTCCACCTTTGCCTCTGGTGGCCCCACAAACCACTGGCATGTGGCCCTTGGAAGGTTGTGAAGAAAGGAATGCGACCCTCAGGTTGGAAAAGCTTCCACACCCTTGTTGTAGATCAAACCTGGCTGTTGAAGGCACAGCATTAAGGGCTGGGCTTGGGCTCAAATGGAGCAGAGGCTTGCACACCTTTAATGGTTCTGTGGAAAAGGGAACTTTAGGAACACAACTATTAAAGATGCAAGAGCCCCGTTTTCTTTTTGCATCTGCCTACGGGTGGCGCTGTGGGTTAAACCACAGAGCCTAGGACTTGCCGATCAGAAGGTTGGCAGTTCGAATCCCTGCGACAGAGTGAGCTCCCATTGCTCGGTCCCTGCTCCTGCCAACCTAGCAGTTCAAAAGCACGTCAAAGTACAAGTAGATAAATAGGTACCGCTCCAGTGGGAAGATAAACAGCGTTTCTGTGCGCTGCTCTGGTTCGCCAGAAATGGCTTAGTCATGCTGGCCACATGACCTGGAAGCTGTACGCTGGCTCCCTTGGCCAATAAAGCGAGTTGAGTGCTCCAACCCCAGAGTCAGTCATGACTGGACCTAATGGTCAGGGGTCCCTTTACCTTTTTACCTACCCTTAATCAAGCCAGACCTTGGCCTTCAGAACAGAGTATTGCTCCTCTGCACCCCCTCCCCCAAAATCAGGGCTTGCATGTCTGTTTTACAACTGCCAGGTGAAATGCAGCTGATAGAAGTTTTGCTTATTGTTAATGTTTGTATGCAGGGAAAAGTTGAGCCTTGTGTTTAATACACTCAATTTCCTATTGCACTTCTCGTCGAACAGTAGCTGAAGGCACAGGAGACTTGTAGGGGAAGCAAATGAAAACGTTGGCAACCTAAACTCTGAACAGGATTGCTTATTTCTTGCTGTTGACAGCAGATTAAAATGTTCAAATGAGTGCTTGGGTGCTTTCTAAAGCTGCTTCTCAGTGTCTTCATTTGTGCCCACAAGTTCTAGCTTTTATGTACTGGATGAAGTTGCATAAGATTACTGTGAGGTTGATCATTGACAGCTTATTAGTGGAGGGTGTTGCTAGCCAGACTTTAGGCTATTTTCCCACTTTTCTTCTAATGGTAGAAGCATTGAGGATTCTTCCTGCTTGTAGCTCATGCTTATGCCACAAGGAGGCATTGCAGAGCTACAGAAAGAATCTTGCCTCCCTCCTCCGCCTCCTTTTTCTATCAAAAATACAGGCGGAGGAAAAGCATTTAAGAAAGGGAAAAGGCTTACTTGGTCTAAAGACAATGTCAGCTCTCCCAGTTACACAGAGCTCTTCAGGAGAGGCACAACCAAAGGGCCAAATTTGTGGATCTCAGAATTTTGAAAATTACAGTTTCCAGGTTTAAAGATGAAAGCTAGGAAGCAGATATCAGTAAAATTACATCTCAGCTACCATGTCCTGCAGAAGTGGGGATTTTGACAGGGACAGCATCTCTGACTGTTGCTATTTTATTGTTTAGGTGCCATGGTAAAAACCCTTGAATTATGCATTAAAACAAGAACAAATAACTGGCTGTTTCCTTAATACTGATGCTATTTCTTTCTGTTTGTAAGTAGGAATGAAGGCATCGATTGGCAGAGTGAGGTTGGTGGGGCAGGGCACCACTTGTCCTAGCAGACTCGCCTCCACTGCCTCTAGGTAATAGGCACCACTATCAAACTGCTCTTACAGTCAAGAAGTGTCTCCTAGTAGTCAACCAAAATCTCCCCTCCCAAATATGAGCCATAAGTCCTAATCCCGCCAACGAAACCTTGACCAATTTAAATGGCTTTCTTAAATACCTAGGCAGCCCCTTCTATTTTGACTGAGCAAATAAATAAACCTGCCTGAGTGACAGTATCTGGGGTTTTTTTGCTTCCACCTAGTTGCACAATCACCTATAGATTCCTAGCAGTTGGAGTGCCACTATCTTCACCTAGCATATATTTTGTGGCTTTGACAATTTATCCATCCATCTCAAAGGAAGCTGCAAAAGTGTCAAGTTCCCACACATCCAGTTTATTCTTACAATGGTCTTGTGAGGTAAGCACCCAGAGAGCTTTCTAGCTGACTAGATATCTCAACATAGATCTCACTAGTCCTAGTCTCACACTCTGTCCACTATACCATGTTGTCTGTCGTCTGGCAAGTAGGAAGCTGTATCTGCTGGATTTCTGATTTTGATGGAACGGCTAGAACATAAGGCCGTAAGAAGTCACCTGCTGGATCAAGTCCACAGCCCTTCTACTTTATTATTTTGCTTCCAGTGGTTCCTAGGAAGTGCTGTATCTCAGCAGTACAGCATCCGCTTGGCATGCAGAAGGCCCCAGGTTTAATCCATGGCATCTCCAAGTAGGTCTGTGAATTCCCTCTGCCTGAAACCCCAAAGAGTCATTGCCAGTCAGTGTACATTGTTGTTGTTGTTGTTGCTGTTGCTGTTGTTATATTATATATATATCTCCCCTTTCTCTCCAACAGGGACTCAAGGTGGTTTACAGATAAAAATATGAAAAGGCTTTAAACATAGAAAAAGGTAATCATTAGACAACAATTAGATAGAACTGAAGATCTATATCATCTATCATCTATCTATCATCTATCTATATCTTATCTATCTATCTATTACTATCTATCTATCTATCTATCTATCATCTTCATCTATCTATCTATCTATCATCTATCATCATCATCTATCATCTATCTATCATCTATTATCTATCTATCTATCTATTATCTATATCTATCTATCTATACTATATCTATCATCTATCTATCCTATCTATCTATTTTCTATCTAAATCTATCATCTATCTATCTATCTATCTATCTAATCTTCATCTATCTCTCATCTATCTATCTATCTATCTATCTATCATCTATCTATCATCTATCTATCTATCTATCTATCTATCTATCATCTATCATCTATCATCTATCTATCATCTATCTATCTATCTATCATCTATCTATCTATCTATCTATCTATCTATCTATCTATATCTATCTATCTATCTATCTATCTATCTATCTATCATCTATCTATCTATCTATCTATCTATCTAATCTATCATCTATCTATCTATCTATCTATCTATCTATCTATCATCTATCATCTCTCTCTCTCTCTCTCTCTCTCTCTCTCTCATATCTGTCTATCTATATCTATCTAAAACATAAGGATAATTACAATATAAACAGCACAGCACCAACCCTTTCATTAAAAACAGCCAGTTCTCAAAAGCCTCTTGGAACAAGAAGGTCTTCAAACTGGTTAGTGGAAGGACAACAAGGAGTGAGCTGATCTGGCTTCTCTAGGGAGGGAATTCCAAAGCTTAGGAGCAGCCACCGAGAAGGCTTACTGAGCTGGATGGACCAAGGGTCTGACTCAGTGTTTGAGGCAGCTTTCTATACAAGCCATATGGTTTGAGGGTGCCAAAAACCACAGGCATTCTCCTATTGCGGGGGGTGGGAGAGAACATCAAGCCCAGGGGCCATATGTGGCCCTCTAGGCATCTCTGTTTGGCTCTTGGGACTTCTTCCAAGCCACAACTCTCATCAGGCCATACCACCTACCACATGCCACATCCTCCTTGAATGCTTTTTCCAGGCTGGCATGTGTCCTTGAACTGTTATAGGAGGATAGAGAGGTGAGTGCATGTAGAAATATCTGGCTTTGAGAGCCAGTGTGGTGTAGTGGTTAAGAGCGGTAATCACGTAATCTGGGGAACTGGGTTCGTGTCTCCGCTCCTCCACATGCAGCTGCTGGGTGACCTTGGGCCAGTCACACTTCTCTGAAGTCTCTCAGCCCCACTCACCTCACAGAGTGTTTGTTGTGGGGGAGGAAGGGAAAGGAGATTGTTAGCCGCTTTGAGACTCCTGAAGGGGTGTGAAAGGCGGGATATCAAATCCAAACTCTTCTTCTTCTTCTTCTCTTTTGCATGGATGGAATGTAGCCTACTGAACAAAGGCGAGAGTCACAACAATTGCCCACTAGGTGGCATTCAGCAGGGCCAGTGAGCTGTGTGGCCTGGAGAGAGTCCTGTGAACCAAACAGAGTGAACTGGAGGAATGAATTTGAATTCCTGGGCTGAGGTTCTCCACCCATGTCTTGAAGGCACAGGAATTGTTCCATGGGTTGGGGGTGAGGACAAGGCACATTGACAACCTGAGATGCCACTACCTTTCATGAGAAATGTGGATGCCAGTGGATGCTGGCACTTTAGGGAAAATGGGGGCACTGCTTTGTGTATATCTCAGTCTGCCCGTTGCCAGCCCCCACCCGACTGCCTTACTTATTTTTATTTATTTATACATTCCCATCTTTTCCTCCAAGGAGCTCACGGTGGCGGCGGCACATAGTTCTTCAGCTCTCCATTTTATCCTCACAACAACTCTGTGAGGTAGGTCATGCTGAGAGGCAGTGATTGGACCATGGCCACACCCAGTGAGTTTCACAGCTGAGTAGGGGTTTGAATCCTGACCTCCCAGGTCATAGTCCAGCACTCTAACCACTACACCACACTTGGCTCAACTTGCCCAGGGTGTGGCTCTGCCTGTCAGCTTTCTCCTCAGAACACAGTAGGCAGGAGGACAGGGACAAAATTAGTTGGCTTAGACTATCATTGGCTCTGGCACCATCCTCTGCCTTCAGCCCTGCCAGTCCCAATGGGCACCAGCCACCCCCGGATGTGCCTGTTCCCGACTCTGCAACTCTTCACCTCTCTTTGTCTGAAATGAGCATCTCCCTTGATGAATTGATATTGGAAGTACCACCCCAACACCTGCCTTCCTCATAGCGCCAAGTTAGAGATTGCTTTTCTCAATTTTTCTCTCTTTGTCTCTCAGCATGATGGACTCTTAGTGGCAGGTCTGCTTGTTTTAAACTGCATATGATTGATTTTTCTCCTTCCTGCTTTGTGTACACGTGGCTCTGTGCATGCACGCACATCTCTTATTATAATATAAATAGATTTAAGCTCAAGTGAGGCTATTAAAGTTCTCCTTTGCCAATCCATTTCTTTTTCACCCTGGTGCAGGATGGTTATTGTCATGGTTTTAATTTGTTTTCTAGCTTATCCTGCTGGGTTAGAATTGCAGAAGTAGTATTTAAAGAAGTTGTGTGGTTTCTCTCTTTCTCTCTCTCTCTCCTCCCCCCTTTCTTTGAAACAAGCAAAGCAGCATGCAGAGGAAGAAGTAAGAACCAGAGACTGGCATGATGATGAGAGGTGACTTCAAAGAAATCTGAACTGACCTCTATAAAATAAAGAAAACGGTGTTGTTGTTTTTAAATGTAGAATGTTCTGTGTTCTGCTACCAGCTTTGTGATTTATATAGCTGTTGAAAAGCATTGATAAACCACCATTTAAAAAAAATAAATCTCCAAGCAGTGCAAAACATTCAAAAAAGAAAGAAAATAACATTAAAACAAAAATGGAACATAGCTAGCATAACAGTAGCAAAAAAGCATAGCAGAATCATAGAACTGTAGGGTTGGAAGGACCCCAAGAGTCGTCTAATGCAATCCTTTGCAATGCAGGAATCACAGCTAAAGAATCCCTGATGAATGGCCACCCAAACTTTGCTTAAAAACCTCTGGTAAAGGAGAGTCTACCGCCTTCCATTTTTTCACTGCTAAAACCAGGCATCCCCAACCTTTGGCCCTCCAGATGTTTTGGCCTACAACTCCCATGAGCCCTAGCTTAAAGGACCAGTGGTCAGGGATGATGGGAATTGTAGTCCAAAACATCTGGAGGGCCGAAGGTTGGGGATGCCTGGCCAAAAGAGTTCTTGCTGAACAGGCAAAAAACAGGGCCTGAACTTTTGCTTGGACAAAAGAGTTGCTGCTTCACATATAGTGGAGGGATGGGCACTTCATAGTTCAAGGGCGAGATCAGAAAATGTCTCCTTTATGTTCACCATCCTCCAATATTCTCAAAAGTGTGGTACCACAAGTGGAGCTTCCCCAGATGTTCTATGCAGTGGCGGAGGAAGAGGAGTGCAGGGGAGCACACACCCCCAGCAGCGCAATCCCGGTGGGCTGCCATCATGGCTGCCTCCCCCCGCACTGGGCGCCATGGCCCCAGGTGGCATGCCACACCCCTGTGGGCAGCGCGCCACACCCCCAGGATGCCCGTCACACCCCTGTGGGTGGTGTGCCATGCCCCCGGGATGCGCACCAGCCCCGCCCCCGCCTGCTCTCCACCCCACCCCCCGGTGCCGGAGCATGAATTCCACCACTGGATCTACATGATCTTACAGACCTACACAGGGGCAGGTGACCTTTCAGGTTACCTGGTCATAGGAAACACAGGAATTTGTCTTCTACTGAGGCTGTATCTACACAGCTATAAAAAAAACTACTCTGAAAATGCTCTGAAAAAAATCGTTTTGAAGCTTGCAAAGGAAAATTTCACAGAGTTCCGATTTCAGTTCTACATCGCCATCTGGTGTCACAGTGTTATAACATTTATAACGTTTTATTTTTTACTAATGTAGCTGAGCCCTGGGTCAGACCATTGGTCCATATAGCTCAGCACTGCCAACACTAACCTGCAGTGGATCTCCAAGGTTTCAGTCTCTCCTAGTCTCAAGATGCCAAGGATTGGACCTGGGATCTTCTGTCCAAAAAGCAGATGTTCTACCACTCAGCTATGGGCCTTCCATAAATCCTGATTTGCCAGTTTTTATTGCCCAAACCACCAAGGTACTAGAGACCGTTTGCTATCTTTCATAAATCACTGCCCCTGTTCTATACAAGCCTGGTGTCATATTTCCAACTGTTTAAAAGACCATCTCCATTCCCACAAACCCTACTAGGTATTAAGAGATGCAGGTACTTCCACCACCCTCAAAAGTGCAGGGAAGAACTTTTTCTGTGGTAGCCCCCAAACAGTGAAACTCCCCCCTCCCATAGAGGTGTGTCTTGTGCTTTCACCATTCACTGAAGATTTATCTCCACCCTGGCCCCTGACGGTTTAGGTATTTTGTTTTGTGGAGTCCCCACCCACTATTCTGTTCCAGTTGTGGCAGTTTGCATGTTTTATCACTGCAGTGGATTGTCTCCAATGTTAGTCCTACTCATAGCAGACTCACTGAAATGGATGTCTAACTTAGGCCCATTAATTTCAGTAGGTCTACTTTGAGTAGCACTAATTGGATACAACTCAATGGGTGCATTTAAAAAATAAAATAAAATGGTATATTCTATTGTAACTTGCCCTAGGACCATACGGTAAAGGACAGGTGAGACATCTAATAAATAGCTATGATAGGTAAATGGAACCTCCAGGTTTAAAGCAAGTGTATCTCTAATTACCAGTTGCTTTGCAACAAATGGGGGGGGGGGAGTTCTGTTACCTATGCTCCCTGTTTTTGGGTGGGCACCCATTTACCCCTGACTATCTATAGGGTTGAGCATCTATTGCTTTCCTTGGGGTATCTATTCCATAACACTGGAGCAGCCACTAAGAGGACCCTGCCTTGATATTAAATAGATGTAACTTTCTAATGTTCTCCCCAGCTGGTTTTAAAAAA